GGTCTCCTACTCCTCCGCCATCTTGCTCCGCCCCTCCAATTATGGGAATATCTTATGAAGGAAGGATTTTGATTGATGCAGTCTTTGCACCTGAAGTTGAGCAAGATTGTGGCTTGAGAGCTAATACCTCTGCTACCTCAGACTCACTGGCCTGTAGTGAAGATACCTAAAGGAATCATGAGGGCCCCCTGAAGGAGTTTTAGTCTCTATGAGAGGCTACAGTAGATAATAGTAGACGGTGAGAGTTTTACTGCATTATTGCTCAGCCTGTGCTAAGGGAGACTCAGAGAGTGAAGCAGGACTATTCAGAAGGCAAAGGTCACCAAAGGATATGGCTTCTGAGGGTGGGGGGTTGGCAACAGCAGGGAAAATAGGCAAAGGTTACCTATACGTGATGTTTTCAGTCATGAATTGGTACCGATCTATCAACATCTGAGGACAGGCATCATTGACTTTGGTTATGGGACCAGCAGCTCACACAGGCAGGATGGGTAATGTGAATGTAAGCCAGAGGCATGGAAATTATGGTTTTGACAGTCACAGAATTTTTGAAGCACCTTTTCCTGACTTGGGCACATTTTTATTCCCATATTATAAATGAGTGAACAGAAATTCTGAGATATTAAGTGGCTTTCCTACATTCAGCTTTTAGCAAATTGAAGAGTACTTCTTGGATAGAGATCTCAACTTCAAATCTTCCACAAAGTGCTTCCTCTATTGTTTATTGCCATTGAGGTACATAGTGGGCATTTTATTTAATATATACAAGAATTCTGTGAGAGGGGTATTACTGCCTCGTTTTATAAGTAAAGAAATTAAGGGGCAGAAAGAGTAAGAAATCTATACAGATTCACATATTGGAAGCAAAGTCAAAAACTCTAATCCAGTGGTTTACTAAATTTCCATTGCTTTAAAAAAAAACAAAAACACCTCATACTACTGCTGCCCAATAAGGTCACATTTATCTACCTTCTTAAGGAACCAGCAACCCCTGCACCCCCAGTAAAGAATTTAAAACCAAAGGGACCATAATCCCTATATGCTCCCTACTCTCACCCCAGCCCACTGGGCCTCTTTTTAGAACTTTCACAGAAGTATGTCCTCATCCTGGGGGAAATTTGGGCTGTCTACTGGGAAATTACTAGATGTCTACATTTCCTGACTATGGAAGTCTGAAATGTATTCTGTCATAAAACAGGATGTGTGGCAACCATAATTTTCCCTTCTCAAAACAGAAGGGTTGTGGTTTTCTTTCTGTTGTCTGGATTCTGGGACTTACCTTTGGTGTAGAATTCTGTTTCTTTCTTTATCTACCATAGACTCAGCCTCTCCCCCCCACACCTGCCTCAACTGCAGCCTTTATTCCTTGCTAATACCACATCCAATGCACCCCAAACACAAATTATTTCTGGTAACTTCCTTCAAGCAACTTCTAACATTTAATGTATTATCTCATTTTTTAAAATTATAAGTGGCCATGCTAATTGTATAAAAATTATGAGGCCTAGGAATATAGGAACAGAGCTTAGTACTGTAATAGACAATACAATAATAATTTTCTTTGTCATACATCTGATGATATACACAGTCATTGTGGTATGCTGTTTTTAGACACAAAGGGTGAGAAGTTTACTTAGGGGACTATAATTTCCATTAGTTTAATACAGTCCTTCATTATGGCTTAATTCTTGTTACTCCAAACACAGAGGTGTCTCTTTTTTCCTTTCCATTTACTGAGGAGGGTATGTGGTTGATATTTTGTTGCAAGTGCTGAGAATAGCCAGGATGCCCCAAGACTTTTTTGCCTTTTTCTTGCCTTTCTTCCAGTATGGCCAAATGAACTCTGTTTCCTTCTGCATATGATTTCCATTTGTCTCTGGTGTTCCCTCCCTACTATATGCCTACTTCTTGCCTATACCCTATGTTTCCTTGAGTAGTCCTCCTCTTTTTTACTCCTTGGTCAACTGGACCAGTTCTAAGTTGGTGTGATGCCAATCAGTATAAGGCTGTGACATCTTTTGGTCACAAGGCTGTACCTGGTAGCAGGGTCTCTCTAAACTGCAGGCAGGAATATCTTGTGACCACTGGAGCCCAGGAGGCTATTACTAATTCTTAAAATACACTCAAAAAGCATGGTCAGGTAATAAAATCTACTAAAATGGAGATTCAGGTCAAAACCAGGAAAATTTAAGCCTGAGTGTCTTTTCAGGGCTTTGTTGAAAAACATTGATCAGTTTGCTTGGTCGTCTTGGCTGTCTGGTTTTCAAAGGGATTCCCTGGGAGATTCCTGACTTGGCCAGACCCCTGTCCATTCCTGTGAATAATGCTTTCTCTGCTCCAACCTTGGCTCCAGGAACCCTTCCCTAGGCCTGGCTTCAATTCAGACTGAGGAGGGCCTCTGCTATCCCACCTGAGGTAGGGATGGGGGAGCATGTGAACAAGGGTCCCTTGGGAATAGAGGTGCGGTCAGGAAGCTGAGTTTATCTCTCTTCTACCCCTGCTACTCTCTAAATATTGTTTTTACCCACTCAGTCTGCAGTTTCTCCTCAGTAGTAGGGGCATGTGCTTTGAGGATAAAACAGAGCCTGGCAACAGCCTAAACCCTGTTGATGAGTCAAAAATGCTCAGTTCTGTGGAAACAGACTTTGTCACTATATCAACTGAGTTGTCTCCATAAAATGACCCTGTCTCCTGGAGATGGCTAGCACCCAGTCCCCTAAAGCAGAAGATCATTTCCCTACATAGGCAAGGACCTCTCATCATAGATAGATGGGATCATTGACTAGATGCCTGGTGCAGATCTAAGTGTCATGGGTGCGACACAGGAAGTGGAGCCTCAGGGGAGCTGCTGGCCCAGAATGGGGAGTTTGCCTCTGTTGTGTGTATGCAAGTATATTTGTGGAGGGGCTGTGGAGCAATTTGTTAGGGAGCTCTGTCAGTGACCTGTGAAAGACTGATACACTAATTTGGTATTCTGTATTTCCTGGACCAATCCCAATTATATACTGTTTGCTTTCTCCAAAAGCATATTTGTCATTCTTGTCAGAGGCCACAGAGAACTGCAATCATTTGGCTGCCTTCTCACAGATCCAGCGGAAGTTGATGTCACACGGTGCCGCATCGTATGTCTTTGTTAGGCCTATCGTCACACAGTTGAAATTCTGATGTTGATTGGTAACACTAAATGGGAGAGAAAGTGTGGTGAAAGCCAATTGTTTCAGCCCTGGCTTTACTGAGTCCAGTCCCTCCCTCCCCCATCCCCAAATCCAGCTCCACACCTGCTCTTTCCGGACTCAGGGTCTTGGATTAACTCACTCTTGTGCTAGGTTAGAAACATTTCATCTGTCGTTTCCTCTCAGAAATATTGTTTTCATACTGCATAGGCTATGTTCACAGCAGGAGGAAAGAGAGGAGGAGGAGAGAGGTTGCTCTTCCTTTTGTAGGCACCAGCTGGCTTTAGGAGAAAGTGTGTTGGCCTTCTCCCACCTCTTTTTCTGTCATTCAGTCTGACTGGAAGGAGTCTGGTTTCATGGAAACGTCATGAGTTTTGGAGTCAAGGGGATGTGGGATGAAATTGTGGCTCTACAGTTTCCCAGCTTGACGATATTCAGTACATTTTTAAACCTCCCAGCTTCAACTGTTAAATGAGGATGAATAAAAGCTTTTTCTACAACATCTTTGTGAATACTGTAGGAAATGACATGAGGAAGTACTTAGCAAGTGCCTAACATTTAGTAGACATTGAGCGAATCTTAATTTCCTTCTTTCTGTGAGAAGCCCAGTTATAGGCTAGGGAACTCTCTGTCTGACTCAACATCTTCATATGTACACCTGGAATGTCATGTTCTCCACCAGTACTTTACATAAAGAAGCCCCATCTGGGGAATTTATAAGAACTTAGTAATAAAGTATGGTCTGTGGGTTAAAAGAGACTTATGAGATATATCAAACAAATGGTATGTATATGGGTTTGTTTGGATCTTGATTTCATCAAAATAACTCACTGTATGACTACTCTTCTCTCTACTTACAAATGTTTGATATCTTTCTTAATAAATGTTTACCAAAAAATGTGTCTCTGGAAATAGATGAGTTGGAAGAAAGGAGAGGAATAAAACAAAAAAAACAAGTCTCAGCCTTTGTGATATTCCAGGACAAACCCACTGAATCTCAGGTCAGGTTTCTTTAGGTGAACTAAGATCCTTAGAAAAATGTGAGATATTCACATACTTGCCATTGAATATGGAGTTGTCAATCCAATGCCAACTGTTCTTTGCTTGCTGGTATAAGCCAATAAAATACTTCTCAGCACCAGTTTTGTCCTGGAGAAATTTCTAGAAGTTAAAAAAAATAGTTCAACAAAAAGTTTTTTTTGCTGCTGTCTCCCTTTGCCAACAGACCCTGATTATATCTGATTCTGGGAACATGGAAGACTGATAAAGGACTCTGAGGCTGGCTATAGCTGGCACTCACCATAACCCCTAGAGTAGTTTTCAGTAGGTACAGCATCAGGATCACCTGGAAGTCTTGCTAAAACACAGCTTACTGGGCTTCTGGTTCAGTAGGTCTGGTGTAGGGGACAAAGAATTTACATTCCCAACAAATTCCCAGTGTGATGCTGATGCTGCTCTTCAGGGATCACATTTTGAAAATGAAGAGGAAGGGTACTATATGATCTAAAAGACGGCACTTTTGAATACTTCTTTTTTATTTGGAATACCTCTCTGCATAGGATTATTTCATTGCCAGAAATTTTACATTCCAAATGAGGTAGGATCAAGTGAATCTCTTGAATACTTTTCAAGGCAATACAGTTAGGGAGATTTAAAAGTGTGTTGAGGAATAATCAGTGGTTTTTGAGTATTTGCTAAATTGACACCAATCCGTGATATAATAGTTTCTTTATTAAACTAATGAATCACAGATCACTCCAGCTTAGGTCTGGGAGCCCCTGGGCTCTTTCCTGTACTCTTCACGTATCTCCTGTAATGAGTGGATCTCCAAATTCACTTGGATATTCCCTCCGTCCCCAGGGCTATTGCCTTTATTCCTCCTTTTCCTATGTTCTCCTTCCCTGAAATATCTCATTTCATTATTCTTTAAAATTAGTTACTGTACTTACTCATTTAACAAAGATTTCTTGAGTGTCCAGTGCGCCATTGAACAAGCCTGGACATATGGAAACAAATTGGTTTCTCCTTAAAGAAATTATGATCTAAAACAAGAGTTGGCAAAGTACGGCCAGTAGTTTAGCCTGTTTTTGTAAATAAGGTTTTAATGGGACACATCCAGGCCCATTTGTACATGTCATCTATGTCTGCTTTTGAGCCACAAGGGCAGCATTAAGTAGTTATGATGGAGCTCTTATGACCTGACATACATAAAATATTTACTCTATGTGACCATTTAAGAAAAATTTGCTGACGCATGGTTTAAAATAAGGGTTCTTAACCCTTACCTCTCTTACACTAAGTCATGGTTGGTTACCAAGGGGATCTCTGAAGCTGTTAGAACTTTATTCAAACTATCATGCTAATGCAGTGTTTCTGGGATTCTATAGATTTCTGGATATTTCTATAGATTTGGTCACCATTTAAAAATGTCAGCGATCCCAACATGGTGAAGATTCACTGGTCTAATACGAGAAGATAGAGGAGTTAACCAGCATGGTGGCGAGGTGTCCTAGGTGTAGTGCTGGTGAACATGTACTAGATATAGCACAGGCAGAAAGGAGGAAGTGATCAATTCTACATGGATTTGGGGTTTTCTAGAAAGACTGCAGATGAAGTGATCCTGGAGATGGATTCTGAGAGATAGGGGAGGGCGTGGGTCAGGATGGACTTCCTGGAGGAGGGAGCATTGGATCATAGGCAGACTGCAGAGCAGCCTGGAGCATTTGAGGAACTCTAAGATGCTTAGTGTGGTTGGGCAGAGGTAGAAGGAAGGTGGGTGGAGAGATAAGGCTGGCAAAAAGGCAGATGCTAGGCTGTACAAGGCCTTATGTGTCATGCCTGGGAAACCGGACTTTAACCCAGTTTAATTTGTAAAATGGCACAGACAGTTTAGAGGCTTAGAGATGTTATCGTGTGGGTTCTATGGAGTATAGGTAAGAAGGGACAAAATCAGGAGCAAGGAGAGGAGTTAGAAGAATTCTGAAGAAATCCAGGTGAGATATGAACAATTTACTGTGGAGAGAGAGAGGAAAAGACTTGGTTAGCAGCTAATTTAGGGGCGAAGAGACGAGGTGAAGTCTCAGAAAATCATCAGCATTCAATCTTGGGTACCATGACTGCTTGCCAATACTTGGAACACAAAAGGAGGAACCGGGTGAGGTAAAATATAATTTGGCTCAGTTTTGAAAATGGTCAGTTTGTGATGCTTTTGAAACATCAGAGTGGATTTTGATATACCGTTTGTTCCAGAGATGACTAGCTAGGGATACAGACTTGAAATCACTAGCAAATCCTTGGTGTGATGAGATTTTTCTGGAGAATGCTACGTATGACGCTTGAGATGCACCAGAACTTGAGGGTTGAGTAGAGGGAGAGGATGTCAGCTTCCTCTACTCAACCCTTTATTCCTCTCTTCTCTTCTTTTCCCCTCCCCTGTCCCCCACCCCGTATTACTCCTGGCTTTCTACTCTAAGGCATTTTCCCTTCCCATCTGTATACTTAGCCTCAGAGGCAGCATCCTGACCCCTACTCTTTGTTGGACACCTGTTACCAAGACTCAGAGAGGGCCCTCTTATGAATTCTCCTCAACCACAGGAGGACTTTATAGAGGAAGTGTGAAAGATGGAGGGCAGAGAAGCATGTGTGCAGTATCTCCCACATGCCTAGCACTCAGAAGATGCTTAGGATTTGAAGGAGAGGCAACTATAAACTAAAATAACTTAGGATCTAAAATTGATTAGAGTGTGGGTTTTAGAGTTGGTGAGATCTCAATTCAATTCTGTCCTGTCACTTAGGAGGTGTATGACCTCGGTCAAATTATTTTTCTGTGCCCTAGCTTCCTCATATGTAAAGTATGGATAATAATAATACCTCCTTGGAATCCTTAGGAGGATAAAAAGAGATAGTAAGATAAAGGTTTCTACATTGTGTTAGCCATCTTTATTATCATAATTATACACTGCAATCCCAATTCTATGACCTGATTCTTTGTTTTTCATATGGCTAATTTTGTTAATTTGCATCTTCCTTATTTATGAGGCCAACTTGGATGATACATTAGCTCTAATTCACAAATATGAAGTATTCTATAGTTTTTAAACAACTTTTAAACACATTTGGTCATTCCCTGCACTTTAAATATCCTGGCCCATCCCCAGGATACCAGTGCACTGCTAAGCCTCATGGAAGAGACTATAGAGTGTGGATTTCCCTAGCTCAAGTGATCTGAGGCATACACCCCACTACTGAGAAGAGTCTCCCACCACCAGATTCAGAGCAAGGAGCTTGGGCTCTCAGCCAGCCTCCTCTCTATTCCTCACCTCCACCTTGCCCTTGCTCCATCAATCAAATTGCCCCATTGCCCCACCATCTCCTCCTGCTGAGGCTGCTGTAGGGGGGGCCACTTTACAGTACCCCCCTAATGCTCTCACCAGTTTCCCTGGTGTGTCCACAATGGCCAAAGTGGATCCTTCTGTTTTGCAAAAGTCCCTGCTTTTGTTCCAGGACAGTTCAAAAGGGGACAATAAAAAGCATCTTCTTCGATGAAAATACCACCCTCTGGAGCAGACTAAAGAAATCCAAGAAAAGAGAGTATAGGATTAATGGTTTGGAGTGTGAACCCTGGAACTGAGTCAAAATATAGTGGGGCATGAGTTTCTTTATAGAAGTTATATCAATGCAAATCATCCTCCATCCTGAAAGAAATCCCATGCAGTCTAATCTGAATTTCCCTGTGGACAAAGTGAAGGGGACGAATTAGAAGATCTTTATGGCCCCTTTGAGCAAGAACGTTCCATAAGCAAGGAGGTAATGGGAAAAGTGTCTAAGAATTCATCACATAAGAACCTGGGATAGAGGAGAGATTATTGTCCTACACTGTACCTGTTCCGGAGCTCTCTGTGGGAACTAAGCTGACATTACTGCTCCCGATAGTCTGAGGAACTAAAACAAAAAGAAAACCTGAAGGTAACTGCATTATGAGTACAACACAAACATCAGAGCAGCTGTTTGGTCCCTGTAACTATTTGTCTCTGGACAGTGGCGATGAGAAGGCACTCTTGGCCACCATTGGCTAGAAGTTTTCATTTTCTTTCTTTGAATTTTCCATCTAATTACTACCATTTTTAGTCATGCCCCACACCCCATGTCCTATTCCATATATTTTTTGGAGGGGGGAGTAGGTGTGAAATGGTGAGAAATGGAACAGGAATGGGTGAATTCAGTACCAGAAAGGAAACTCTCATTCCTTTCCATATATGCCTTTGACGGTGTTGCCCCCTCCGCTTCTGCCCAGGTGCTGTTTGGAGCACTTCCTCTCCTGGCTGTGCACAGCATCTGTGCTCTTCTCCCCGTCTCTGGTGCCCCTAGTCCTGTGTGAACACTCTTCTCCCATGGGTGGCTCTTGGCCCCACTCTCATCAGCACCTGCCAGCCCTAAGAAGTGAGGCTAATGGGAACTAGTTTCAGGACCAGGGTCATTGACAGACATGGAGGCAGGTGAATGTTCCAGAGATTTCCTGTGGGCAGAGAAGGGTCCATTTATGTTTTTAAATATAAGTAGGGGAATTGATAGGCCTCTAAGAAGCCTCATTTTTCCTGAGAACACTGGCTGGCCAAGCAGACAGTGCAGTGGCTTGGAGGCTGGTCAAACCTCTCCTCAGCTGCCCAGTTATTTGTCCTGTGTGGCTGAAGACCACTTTAGTTTACCCAGACACCATATCAGCTACTTCTAATTATATGAATGAAACATACCAGTTAGCATTCACTTTTTATTTCAGTTCCCAGTTCAAAGGCTCTTTGTATTAAAAAATAACCTGGTTTTCAGGAGAAACCATTTGGGGATTATAACTGCACAGAACTTCATAAATATTTCATGAATACTGCTTCCATACAGCTCACTGTACTAGGAGCCTCAGTTGATACAAAGATGAACAAGCAATTAACTTTCTCCTCAAGATGTGTGTAGTAATAAATGTTTTAAGAGGAAGTGAGAGACAGGTCCTCAGGAAAGTTTTAAGAGGAGGAGGGTTTAATCGGGAGAGCCATGTCTCATTCATCTCTTTATGCCACTTAGCTTCTAGCATGGGGCCTTGTGCTTTACCGAGGACAGCTGGCTGATCGTTCCTCGTTCTTACTCTTCTTCTGTTGTTGGTCTAGCAGAGTGATTGGCGTACAAAAAGTGCTGGTTACAATCTTTGAGTTTTCCTGTGGGAAGTAGGTTTTTTTTTTTTTTTTTTGTATAACAATTCCTTTAGGTATACAACATGTCAGAGTTTATAAAGTCCTTTCTCATGACATTACAGTGATTATATACAAATCATTCTCATACTCAGGAGGAAAACAGAGGATCACAAACTTTGATCAGCTTAGTCTGGGTTTCCCATCTATAAAAACAGGGGAATTAATTAGAAGATCTTTTTTGGGGGGCTCCTGGGTGGCTCAGTTGGTTAAGTGTCTGTCTTTAGCTCAGATTATGATCCCAAGGTCCTGGGATGGAGCCCCACGGTGGGCTCCCTGCTCAGTGGGGAGTCTGCTTCTCCCTATTTATTTGAGAGAGAGAGAGAGATAGTGAGAGAGCATGAGCAGGGGGGAGAGGGAGAAGTAGACTCCCCTCTGAGCAGGGAGCCCGATGTGGGGCTGGATCCCAGGACCCTGGGATCATGACCCGAGCCAAAGGCAGACGCTTAACGACTGAGCCACCCAGGGGCCCCTAATACAGTATTGTTAACTATAGTCACCATGCTGTACATTAAATCCCTATAACTTATTCCTCTTATAGCAATTAGCATATCTTTATGGACCCTCCCTGCAAAAGAATTTCTTAAGAGAGGGGACCTTGAGGAAGGACTATAAGAAGTCAGCACACAAGAACCTGGAGGCTGGGAGGAGATCATGGTCGTGCACATTACCTGTTCCATAGCTCTCTCTGGGAAGGAAGTTGACGTGACTTTCTCCAAAATTCTGTGGGACTGCAAAGAAAATCAGCTATTGGCCCAGCCACAAAAGTGGCTGCAAGTTGACTATAACAAACCAACATCACCCAGGGGCTGCTGAAGCACCGTGACTATTACTGTGAGATCTGGAGCTCTCTGACTCAGGTCAACGAGGATGTGTATGTGTTTTTTTGTGAATGTGTTTACTTATTCGTATTCATATTTTCTTCCTGCTCTCTTACATGATAGGAATTGTGCCTTCAGCTGGGTGAAAGGAAAGACACCTCTTTACACAATTGCTGTCTTTTACTCACATTTCCTTCCTCATATTTGTTCCCTACTGGTTTCTGGGGCTGGAGAAGATTTTCACAGCTACAGCGAAACCCTTTGATACAAGGCTTCTCCTAAGTGTCTGGATAAAAGTTTCTATGGACATAGAGGGAAATTTGTCCCCCAGTAAAATCCCATTACCTCATCATGCAGCTCTCAGCCTCATCATTGGGTTGAACTGATACTGATTTTCAAGTTTGAGGAACAATAACAAGCACTGATAAGTATTTCACCTCAGATTGCCCAACTAACACTGTAGCGGCAAAAGCTTTGTTTGGTATTCTGTCAGACACTAGTCAGTTCTATATCTGCAAGGCAGTCCAAGGGACCCAGCCCATTGCGTGTGCTGGGGAGTGAGAAGAGCATTGTCAGTTCCCCCACACTGGGTAGTTGCCCTCAGGTGGGAAGACTTAGGCGTGTAGCCTTTATATTCAACTTTGCATTCTGAGAGGAAAGTCAAAGAACAAGACAGTATGGGGTTGGGATAAGAGGTTGCTCAAATACTCACAATAAAGCAGAAATAAGGTCATTCCAACAATTTTAAGCACCACTATGACAAGCACAGAGATTATCATGTGCCAGTTCATGATGAAGGCGATGAGGAGGCCTGTGGGAATTAGATACTGTGCTTTGAGAGAGAGAGAGAGAGAGAGAGAGAGAGAGTATCACTTTAAAGATCTGGGAGCAAGTCTTCTTTCTAGCAGGACGCATGCTTCTTTCTCAGAGCACCCTTGGGGGGCTTGAAAGGCAGGTGTGCCATTAACAGCTAGCTACAAGAATAAGGTCCAACCCATGCCCAGAAGACACATAGAATTTTGTACTGATTGGGAGCCTTTGAACTTGGCATGGTGCCTTTCCTTCACCCATACCTTAGCTCTAGACTTTAGCCCTATCAGTCACCTCCTAAACTCTGTCTAATGAAATAAATCCTCTCCTGGACTTTAAGAACCCTTAGCTTTGAAATGACCCTGCTCTCTAGGACCTTCTCTGTGGTCTTGGCCATAATGATTTCAGCTGTCAAAAGTCTCACTCTCCAAAAGACTATGCCAGGACTCTTACAGACAAGACAGGTGTCCCCAAAGCTCTTGGAATTGGGGAAGGGCCAATAATCTGTGCAGGGAGGACAGACAGACAGACTCACCTGCTCTCTCTTGGGAAGGCTGGCCTAGTTTGCAGGTGGGGATCTTCCTGGTGGCCTTATGCTTGGTGTGGTGGGCAGAGGAACCTTCAGAGAATATGCTCCTTCTGCTCAAGCACTGTCATTCCTTCTTTACATGGTCTTTCTATCTTGGCAGCATCCCTGAGCAAACACTTCTTCCTGTTCAGTGTTCTTGGCAATGGGAGTGTGTGGGGCAAGGAGGGGAAGGGAGTTTATAGCCTCCGCAAGAGGAAGCTTCCTGCCAGAGGGTTTCTAATACAAGGGGACATTTTTTTTTTTTAAAGAATATTTAGCTCTAGTCACTGTTAACATCCCTGGGTGTATGTTCTTTCTAGATGACTAGGTAGTGAAAAGATAGATGATAGACCGACAGATGATAGCTAGCTAGCTAGGTGATAGATACTGGTTCATTTAGAAAAATGGGATCATATTGTATACATTGTTTTGTAATCTATATACTATAGATTAAGCTAGCACTATATAAATATCCTTCCATGTTAAAATATAGATTTTGCACTTACAAATGGTCAAAATGGAAATTTTTATGTGTATTTTACCACAATAAAAAAATGAAAAAAAAAAAAGGGAAAAACTGAGATTTGACTTTGGTAATCTTCACATGATATTAAGATGAAAATGCAATCTTTAGCATGTGTATTATGCAATATAACAATTGTCTTACTAAGACAATGGAATCTATAAACTGTAATTACCAAAGAGTTCGGGGAGATAGAAAACCATGCCCATACCTGTTCTTGGAAGAAATTTGGACACAGTATATAGCTAAACAGGCTTCTGGGTGTACTGTGGGTTTGTTGTGGGGAAAACAGTGTGTGTGTGGGGGGGTGCGGGGGTGAGAGAGAGAGAGAATTGAAATGGATAGTTAAGAACTCTTCCAAGGAAGAGCAAAAATAGGGGCCATGGAGTTTACTTTCCCTCAGCTTCCAGGATCAACTATTAAAGCTGGCAAAGTATGGCACCAAAGAGATGGGCTGCCTGTTTTCAGAATCTACACCCTGTGGTGACAATGGCAGCAAAAATACCAGTGACGTAGGAACTATGACTGCCCTCTTTGGATTGATAAGCAACCATCGGTATCATAGGGTCCAGTCTGGGAAGGAAATCTAGAAGAAGGGGCTCCTGTGATTCATTGCTTGGTGTTTTGGAGTGGTATCAACATGACTGTTTACCAAAATGACTGTATTTTATACTTCACACAGAGAAAGACAAATACTGTCTCTTGAGCTTTATTTTTAGGCACATATACATTTAAATGTATGTATTTCCTTCACTATATATTGCAGGAATTCTTTCAAGTAGTTTAATGAGAAAACTTGGAAATTGAAAGAGACCTGATGTTTCCTCTTATCTTTACAGTCACAATTCTTGAAACGATTGTCAGTTTTTACTGCCTTCTCTCCCTCCCCTCCCACTTTCTCCTCAGCCCACTCCAATCCGAATCCCACCATGACTACATCATGAGATAATGACTCCTACTCAGTAGTTAAATGCATACAGTTTGGTCTTCATATTTACTGATCTTGAGCAAGGGCCCACATCATCTTATGTTGTATACTTTTTCTTGGCCTCCACGAGTCTACATTCTTCTGGTTTCCCATCTTTCTCTTGAGCCTCTCCTTTTACTTTCTTCTCTGCCTATTCCTCAAATTGTATTCTTATCCCTCTTCTCTTCTGAGTCTCATGGTTTCAATAGCCATGCTCATGAAGATGGTTCTTAAATCTTTACTCTGAGTTTCAGATCTGTATATTTTCTGTTTCATTTTTCACTGAGATACTCCACAGACAACCTGGAGTCAACATGTCCCTAAATGAATTAATTACTACCCTCTGCTAAAGGGGTTCATCCTCTTATGTTCTCTCTCTCGGAACATGAAGACCATCTCTTCAGTTGCCCAAATCATAAAATGTGGGTCTTCTCCTTCTCTTCCCTTCCCTCCCCTCCCCCTTCCCTCCCCCTTTCCTTTCCCTTCCCTTCCCTTCTCTTCCACTCAGACTCCATGCCATGATGATTCTGTCTCCTCAAGGCTGTCAAACCTGTGTTCTTTTCTCCTTTCTAACAGCTACCTCTTGCTCTCTCACTGGCTCTATCCTCCATCTTCTCAACAATTTCCAAAGAAACCTCTTGCCATAATCTTGCTTCAACAGTTCACTCTGCATCAGAATGATCCTTCTAAAATGCAGACTTGATTGTATCATTCCCCTCATGAAATATTTGAGTAACTTTCCATTGCTATTAGAATAAGTTTTGGGTTCCTCAATGTGGTCTATGAGTCTTTACATGTTCATTCTTTCAGCAAATGTTGCTGAGTGCTTGCCATATGCCAGATACTCTTCTAGGCACTTAGGATATATGTTCTGGTTTTTCTGTACATCTCAGGGTACCACATCTACCCATGCACTGTCTGCGAGCAACATTAAACTTCTAGTTCTTTACACACTCTCTTGGATCCAAGTCTTCATATATTCACCTGACATATACTTATTGAGCACATAATATGTGCAAAGCAGTAATCGAACCACCTCCCCTCTCCCAAGCACATATATATATTCTTATATACGCTCTTTAACTAGATAATTTTGACTCATTCTTTGAGTCTCAGGTTAAATGTCGCTTCTTTCAGGAAAATTTTCCTGATTCTCCTTCTTTACTCCATTTGGGTTTAGGTGCCCTTTATCCGTGGACTCATGATATCATGTACTTTTTCTCTGAGGGCTAAAGGAAATGCGTGATAATGCACTTGTTTGCTTCCCCTGCTAGACTCTATGAAGTCATGAAGGCAAATCCACAGTGTTTGCAACACTGCACTATGGCATTAGGCTTCTAGGCTTGTTGGATTTTTATCATTTACTCATGAGAGTGTGGTAGGGCCTACAGAATACTTCCAATCAATTAAAAATTTCTGTAATATTCTTTGTGTGAATTAAGTAGTTTTCAATAATGATAACTTAAGAGCTAGACCATCTCTGAAGGTGCTGATTTCTGATTAGAAAATTTCATATCTTACTTAAACAACCACCCTGAAGTATGGATTGGGACTATAGTACTTCACATGATAACTAACCGCCTCCTAGTTTATATAGAGTTGGTAGCCATTGCCAAGTTTGCAAAGCTGTTTTCTTTTTTTTTTTCTTAGAATAGAGCACAAGTTTAAAGTCAGGCCTCAACTGAAAGAGGGAGAACAGAATGAGGCCATATGCTTCCAGAAAAATGGGAGAGAGAGCATTTCTTTGTGAAAAGTAAATGATATTTTATGTATTGAAAATTGAAAATATGTCTTTGCCAAAAAGTAAAATTTAAGATGCCATTACAAAACAAATTAGAACAATTGCTATATAGAAAAGTTATTTGATGAAAATTTAATTAACTGAAAGAAAGAACTAGAATTTCCATAGGATTAATTTCTGAATGCAAATAAAATAGGTGATGATTTTTTAAAAAGTGGCCATAAAATCTTTTACAATGCATTTCTGAAAGATTATCTGTGGAGTGAAGGAGAATTTATATGACTTCAACAGAATCAAACACTCATGAATACATTATAGGTAGAAATACTGTGGTGTTCAGAATATTGAAGATGGCAGAGGACTTGCTAGAGAAGAATGAAAGAATCTATGATATTTTATTTTATTATTTTATTTTTTAAGCTGCTACAAGCAATTTATTTTATTTTCAAAGTCATTCTACTGCTATCAAACATGTTCAAAAGTCTAAATGTGGTTTAGAGTATTAGATTTTTTTTTAAATTTAAATTCATTAGTTAATATATAGTGTAGTAGTATTGGTTTCAAGAGTAGAATTCAGTGATTCATCACTTCCATATAACACCCAGTGCTCATCCCAACGAGTGCCCTTCTTAATGTCCATCACCCTTTTAGCCCATCCTCCCACCCAGTTCCCTCCATCAACCCTCAGTTTGTTCTCTATATGTGATGTTTCATAATTGCAGCTGATAAAAGCAAATATATAAATAATAATTCCAAGCAATAGCTATGTTCACCTGTGGCACTGAAAAAAAAAGCTTTTGTACTAAACTGAACATAAAACACAAGAGGAATTCTTAATCTCAGGAAACAAACTGAGGGTTGCTGGAGTGGTGGGGGGGGGAGGGATGGGGTGGCTGGGTGATGGACATTGGGGAGGGTATGTGCTATGGTGAGCACTGTGAATTGTGTAAGACTGTTGAATCACAGACCTGTACCTCTGAAACAAATAATACATTATATGTTAAAAAAAAAAGAAGATAGTAGGAAGGGAAAAATGAAGGGGGGGAAATCGAAGGGGGAGATGAACCATGAGAGACTATGGACTCTGAGAAACAAACTGGAGGGTGTTGGGGCGGGGAGGGATTAGCCTGGTGATGGGTATTAAGGAGGGCACGTATTGAATGGAGCACTGGGTGTTACATG